AGCGCGGGCGGCGGGAGGCGCTGGCGAGCGGGCGGCGACGGCGGGAGGCGAACGGGCCCGGGGGGCCCGCGATGGGCCGCGAAAGGGCGCAGTGGAGAGGTGGCCGGCTGACATGTGGCACGCACGGGTTGGTCCGGGCATGGCGGCGGACGCGTCCGGCACCGTCTGGACGTGTCCGACACGGAGGAGGGTGGAGCTTGGGTTTGGACTGAGAATTTGGGGGGGAGAGGCATATTTATAGGTAGGGGGAGCTAGGAGAGTCCAAATGAGGTGAGGTTTTCACCCACACGTCTGTGATCCAATGACGGAGAGCATGGAGGGGGTTTAGATGAGCTAGTGGGCCGTTGTGGAGGGGTGCTGGGCTGCAAAGAGAGAGGGTTTTTTGCGGTAACTCAGTTAACCGTTGGGGCATCAAACGACCTCCAAATGGAACGAAATTTGACAGGCGGCCTACCGGTGATGTACCAAGGTGTAACGCCCCAAGACCGGAGCTTCAGATGACTTCCATGATTTCTGGGTTTTCACCGTGTGATTTGTTTGGTTCGTTGCACTCATCATGTGCATTGCATCATGTCATCATGCCTTTAATCTTTCCAGCTCAACTAAATAAATCGGATCTTCGGTACATTTAAACCGAGGGAATTCACATGGTGATTTCTCTTTATAACATATCCTCCCTATACTTTAGGGAGCTATAGTAAATATTCTAACACACTTGCAAAATAATTCCATGTGTTTTTTTCTACTTCAAGTTTGGTTCCCAAACTTTGCCCATAATTTCTTTCATTGTTTTCCCGTTCTCCACAAAAATTCCGAACATTTTTGGACTCTCCAAAAATGTTTTCATAATTCAAAATTATTTGAATCACATTCAAATGTGTTCGAATACAATCCTTCGAAGCGGTGCCAAATGTATTTTTCTTGGATGAAGCACCTTTTTACGAGTCCAAGAAAATTGGCGCCCTGCTCAAATTCTTCTCCTATCTCTCTCTACTTTTCTTATTTTTTTTCTTTGTCTTTTTTTGTTAATCAGGGAGAATAGTCTAGGAGGAGAGAAATAGTGTGTGTGCAGGGGCTCAGCCCAGCCGCGCAGCCCAGTTGCACCGAGGCCCAACCGCCCCAGCTATTCCTAACCCTAGGCTAGCGAGGCCCAGCCGCAGTCCTCCCTCTCCTCTCGATCCTTCTCCTCCTCGTTCCCTTCCACCGCCGCCACACAGGCATCGCTCAGGAGAGGAGAGACCCACACCCCGATCCCTATCTCCCTTGATCTGTCCCGCACGCTCGCCGCCTCTCCTTCCCTCGTCCTTCTCCCAACCGCATCACGCCAGGAGCCCGTGTCTCGCTCCGCCACATAGCGCAGCCGCCGCTGGCCGCTGGCACCCGCTGACCTTCCCGCTTCAGGCGGCCATGGCGCCCCATTGGCCGGCGAGCCGCCGCTGCCGCTGGCACCCGCTGACCTTCCCACTTGCCTTCCCCAGTCGCGCGCCCCTGCTCCCTTCTCCTCCTCGCTGTGGTTCCCCCGTGCGCCTTCCCTGCATCATCCTTGCCGCTGAACCGTCTCCCCTCCTTCGTCCATGGCCTCCGCCACCCCATGAGCTCTAGCCTCACCGGAGCCAGGCGCCTCTGCCTCTCCTCTGCTCCCGCCTGCACGCCTCCATCTTGCTGCGTCGCTGGACCTTCCCGCTGCCGGCAGCACCGAACCGCCTCCATGGTACTCGTCAAGTACACCATCAGCAAGACCATATGGATGCTCGTACTAGAACAGGCCGAAACGCTTCCTCTACGACCCGTGCACGACTACGGGGATTCACCAAGTACCTTCGGATGCGCCAAGTTCGTCTACACAAAACGTCAAGTACCACTCATGTCGGCAAAACCCGTAAGTCGGACCCCAAACGATCGACGTCTCGTGGACTGTGTACAACTACCATCGCCCTCGAAGATATTGGAGTCATCAAGTACCTCCCAAACGAACGCGAACGACTACCGTCGCAAGAACGGGACCGAAAAGTCCAAAGACCCCAAGAACCACGACATTTGACGCATAGTACCACTACTTTTGCCATGTACATCTACCGTCGCCGGTGATCCATGTAGCACAAACGCGAGATGTGTACCACTACTTCCCCTATCGCCGTGAGTAACTCTACCGACCCCGACCATCAGAGCATGTACGACTACTGTCACGAAGATCGGTGGACCATACCACGTCAAGTTCCACTACAGTCACGAGTACCACTACCGTCGACCCTCGAAGCCTCCGTGGACATCAAGTTCCTCGCCATGACCCCGAACATCTACGGAGAATTGTGCAACTAAGAACGTGAACGACTACCACCGCCAAGATCATTAGTACCTCTACCGTCGTCATGTACCCCTACTTCCACTACCGAACGTCCCGAGAACGTCTACTTCCCCTACACCGCTTTGAACTTGAACCCCTCTGATAACGCACGCTTCGAAGGTATAACCCCGAGAAGACCGTCCGAGAACGTTTGCATGTGTTGTATGAGATGCACCCGTTGTCTGCACCGTGTCCGAGTTGTCACTTGCTCGAGCCTCCTCTTTTGCCGCTAACCCGTGGGGACCCGGTATCCGGGAGCACCCCACCATCCTTGCATGACACGCCCCGTCACTTTTCCTTTTGCACCGGCATCTCAATCGAGTTACCGGAAACCGGAATGTTGTCGTGGCACCATTTCCCGTTATCATTGCCATGGCACCCCTTTCGTTTCCACCACGATGACAAATGCTTCATAACATGCTCATGTCAACATTTTCGTAAATTTTGCATAAACTTGTCCATGTCATCCGCATCATAATAACAACAATTAAAATGTTTAAAATTGTTGTTGCTTTAAATTACTAAGGCATATGGGGATTTACCGGATTCGTTATTTGTTATATCCGGCCCCATTTAAATTGTTTAGATGGTATAGTTTTGTTACGCTTCACCTCTTGCCATGTTAACCAACATTTAATATTGTTGAGTACATAACCGAGAGAGAACTAAATAATTGATGTGGTGTTTCGTCAATATGCAACGGAGTTGCATGTTGAGCTCCACTTAATTTGTAGGGTTTGTTTGTGCACTTTGCCATGCCATGCTTCATTAAACCGAACATGCATCATACTTGGTTGTGCAGCATGCCATGTTTATGCTTGGTTGTTTACTATGTTGTGTTTCTTTCCGGTGTTTGCTTCTTCGGGTTGGTTCCGGTAACGTCATGTTTGTGAGGACCCGTTCGACTACGTCCGTTTGACTTCTTCATGGACTCGTTCTTCTTCCTTGCGGGATTTCAGGCAAGATGACCATACCCTCGAAATCACTTCTATCTTTGCTTGCTAGTTGCTCGCTCTTTTGCTATGCCTATGCTGCGATACCTACCACTTGCTTATCATGCCTCCCATATTGTTGAACCAAGCCTCTAACCCACCTTGTCCTAGCAAACCGTTGTTTGACTATGTTACCGCTTTGCTCAGCCCCTCTTATAGCATTGTTAGTTGCAGGTGAAGATTGAAGTTTGTTCCTTGTTGGAACATGGAGATGTTGTTCCTTGTTGGAACATGTTTACTTGTTGGGATATCACAATATATCTTATTTAATTAATGCATCTATATACTTGGTAAAGGGTGGAAGGCTCGGCCTTATGCCTGGTGTTTTGTTCCACTCTTGCCGCCCTAGTTTCCGTCATATCGGTGTTATGTTCCCGGATTTTGCGTTCCTTACGCGGTTGGGTTATAATGGGAACCCCTTGACAGTTCGCCTTGAATAAAACTCCTCCAGCAATGCTCAACATTGGTTTTACCATTTGCCACCTAGCCTTTTCTTTCCCTCGGGTTCTGCAGACTCAAGGGTCATCATTATTTTAACCCCCCCGGGCCAGTGCTCCTCTGAGTGTTGGTCCAAACTAGAGCCCCTTGCAGCGCCACCTTGGGGAAACTCGAGGGCTGGTTTTAGTTGTACAGACTGCTCATCTGAGTGTGCCCTGAGAACGAGATATGTGCAGCTCCTATCGGGATTTGTCGGCACATTCGGGCGGTGTTGCTGGACTTGTTTTACCATTGTCGAGGATGTCTTGTAACTGGGATTCCGAGCCTGATCGTGTCTTCCCGCTAGAAGGAATATCCTTCATTGACCGTGAGAGCTTGTGATGGGCTAAGTTGGGACACCCCTGCAGGGATTTGAACTTTCGAAAGCCGTGCCCGCGGTTATGGGCAGATGGGAATTTGTTAATGTCCGGTTGTAGAAAACCTGAAGTTGATCTTAATTAAAATGCACCAACCGCGTGTGTAACCGTGATGGTCTCTTTCCGGCGGTGTCCGGGAAGTGAACACGGTGTTGGAGTTATGCTTGACGTAGGTTGTTCTAGGATCACTTCTTGATCATAGTTTTCTCGATCGTGCTTTGCCTTCTCTTCTCGCTCTCATTTGCGTATGTTAGCCACCATATGTGCTAGTCGCTTGTTGCAGCTCCACCTCATACCTTTTACTTACCCATAAGCTTAAATAGTCTTGATCGCGAGGGTGTGAGATTGCTAAGTCCCCGTGACTCACAGATACTTTCAAAACCAGCTTGCAAGTGCCATTGAACCGTGTAAGATGATGCAACCAAGCTCAAGGAGGAGCTCGATGAAGATCTTGTCCTTTGTGTTGTTTCGTTCTAGTTGATCAGTAGTAGTGGAGCCCAGTTGGGGTCGATCGGGGATATGTGTAGCTTTTGGGGTAGTCTTCTTTTATTTTGGTTCCGTAGTCGGACCTTGATTGTATCTGGATGATGTAATGCTTTATTCATGTAATTGTGTGAAGTGGCGATTGTAAGCCAACTATGTTTCTCTTTCCCTTATGTATTACATGGGTTGTGTGAAGATTACCTCACTTGCGACATTGCTTTCAATGCGGTTATGCCTCTAAGTCGTGCTTCGACACATAGGAGAAATAGCCGCATCGAGGGCGTTACACAAGGCCACTCGAAAAATCTCATCCCATTCCGAGAACGTTTTTCTCCCGCTCACAAAACGAGACCCGAGGGGTGCAATGGGTGCATGGGTGAGTGTCGGATTACGAAACGGAGAACGGGGAAAATGACCGGATGCATGAGACGAACATGAATGCAAATGAGATGCACATGATGACATAAGATGAAATGCATGACATGAAAAAACTGCAAAAATGAGGACAACACCCAACCACGAAAGGTATAACATATCACATAGCCGGAAATGGCAAGAGTTGGAGTTACAATTATGGAATGTTACATCCGGGGCGTTACATTCAAAGTCTAAAGCCTAAAATTGAATCACCATCAGACATTCACATTGTTAAGAGCATCTAAAACATACTCCTACTGTATAAAAATAGAATACGCTTTTGTAGGCTAGCTTGGCTTACAAAAACTTCTTATATTTTGTACAGAGGTAGTACCTTATAATGTAGACATTAAACAAATGCAAATTATAATTGGAGGTGCAGTCCAAACATAGTAAATTGTATACATTGATATATTTTAATGATGAGTAAATGACCGATATATTATATTAAAAGAATAAAAATCATCAGCTCCTCCAATAAAGAAACACACTCTTCTGTCACCACATTCCTCATAGATACACAATTCCCCTCGAATGACTAAACCTGAAGCCCCAAATGCTTATAGGAAAAATGGTACATGAGGAACTAGAAACTACAACATCCATCGGTTGCTTCCTCTGAATTTCGTTTGAGAATTGGGCTACCTGGATTCATTTGGAAGCACAATCCAACGACTAAAATAGCAAGTGCCCTGAGAAGGCTCCATTTATTCTCAAAATCTAACAATGTTGACCCCCTGAATTTCTATCAAACAGTAGCTTCCTATGAATGAATAAAAGGACGCGATGTTTTGGCTCCTAGGTGCATATGCACCTATTGTCTAAATACACATTTTGAAAAGTTGAAAAATTCGAAACAAAAATCCCGCGGGTATATCCGGACATTATCTATGCATGCACAAAGTTTCGGTGAAAAATGCCGTTTTTTGTACCTTGTGTAAAAAAGATAAAGAAATGCCTCATGAATAGTTATAATGAAGCATCATAAATTGTCTTTTTTAAATAAGCCACAAAAAACCTCGTTTTCACCGGAAACTTTGTGCACACACATAGAATGTCCGGATATACACGCGGGCTTTTTGTTTGGATTTTTTCAACTTTTCAAAATGTGTATTTAGACAATGGGTGCATATGCACCTAGAAGCCATAGCCAATTACCGTGAATGAACACAAATTGCTGCAAAGTTGACCTTGGAATAACGATAATGCATGAAGTAATAATAGTTAGCAAACAAAGGGAGAAGCTGGCGACGTTCTTGGAACGGGGGTACCCCGACTTGACTGCTTGCGGCCCATGGCGTGGCTTCATCGACGGCCTGATACGACCCAGCTTCAACATCAACAACCCAAGACCCTTGCGAGGGGCCAAGCCTCGCGAGGCGGACGACACCAAGACCTCCACGAGGAGCGGAGATTTCTATGCAGGCTTCACCTCATGAGGTTCGGATGACGTGAGCCGTGACGACCAAGGCCAGGCGGGCGCCAGCTGGTGTAGTGTACCAGTTTGCTCTTTGGTGCTAAGGAGGCAGGCGCAGGCGCGGAGTCCCGAGGAATCAGCCAAAGGTTTTGATTCAGGTGTAACAAGACCAGGACCGCCAGGACGGCAGGACGGAGGTCATCACCGAGCCCACCGCGGCGTCACGACCAGTGGCT